CTGTATAACTTCTTTGAAGTGTATGTAAATGAAGTAAATGTACTTCATTTATTCGACCTCTGCTAATAAGAAACACATAATAATTATATAATACAATATAATATATTCATCATCCCGCTTATAGTCCCGACCTGGCGCCTTGTAACTTTTATTTATCTCCAAAAATTAAGAACCAGTTACGCGGTCAACGATTTTCATCACCTGAAGAGGCTGTCGAAAAGTATGAAAAATATGTTTCAGATATTGTCACGAAGGATAAATGTTTTCAAACGGAGAATATTTTGAGAAACAATAAATTTATTTCTGACCATTTATATTATTTTTTTCTTATTCATTTCAGAAACTTACAGTGTGCCCCACGTGTATTTGATGTAGGTACGACTTAGTTAAATATGTACACAAACTTAAAAATTCACACAAAGAGAACTGTTCACAGTATTCATTAAACTTGCTAAACAAGAGTTTGTAAACTTTACCGTGTAGTAAGTTTTAACAATACAAGTTGACTAAATCATAAAGATTATAATCTTTAAAGGAGATCAACTAAATTAGGTATTTAGAAATTACTAGACGTGGACGCTCAAGATACTGTTAGTCCACCAGTTAAAAGTGGGTTCAAAGAAGAACGAGCTGTGCTCGGAGTTTCTTTCAAAGACAAGGACCGGATCGAGGTTATGCGACAGAGAACCTAGATCGTCGACATGGCTGATAGAATAAGCAAGCTGCAGTGGCAGTGGGCTGACCTTATGTGTCGAAGAACCGATAGGTAGTGTCCCTTGTAGAACTCAACTGAATGCTCTCAAAAAACTCACAAAATTTTCATCAAAATACTTGAATGAGACACTCTCTTTGCAGTTATTCATTGACCGTGTACGAACGAAATATACCGCATTGATGTGTTTTACAATTGAACCACAGATTACAAATAGTAGTACGTTTTCTTATATAATCGATGTATAACAGCTGTTGGAAGAAACGCCGACGCGCAATGAAATTCTCTGCTGCTTTGGTTAGTGGAATTAATTTGTTTCCCAAGTTTCAAGTTGATAATATCATAACTTTTTTATAAAAAGAAAACGAACCTGAAACATTCGTGGAACTACATCTATTTGCTAAGTTTTGTTGAAGTCGGTTACCGGAAAGTGCGCGAAAACGGATTCATCCCAGAGTTTGCCACCCTTAGAGGTGGAATAATTTCTTCAAATTTAAATGGGACCAATACCAACAAGAAAGAATCATCAAAATCGGTTCGCAAATAAATTAATCGCGTAACTTACAAATTGACAACCTCCTCCTCTTTGAAGTCCGATAATAACCGTTCTCAACAACTGTCGTATCCATGTTTATGCCTTAATTGATTATGACGTAACAGTTTTTTTATAATACCAAGTGTGGGACGAACAAGTCGTGCCCGTGGTGATACAAAAGATGTTTACGAATAATGATTATTCTCCAAGAATTTTGTACAAAGAAAAGGGCTTCTTGACTTTAACAGGAATATATATTTTGGAAAAATGTCTTTTTGTACGTAATCACGTATTTTGTGTGTATCAGCCATTGACTTACAATTATATGGACGTCGGGTCCGCGCTAAAAAGTGTCCGCACTTGTAGGGCGCTAAAATCGTATACAGAGCGCCACACTCCGCTTTAGTCTTCATTTGTTCTACTGACAGCGCGATACTGCGATGACATTACAATTTAAATTTCGAATAGGTTGACTTGGGACATTTTTTTCGTGGTTTTTGTATTAGACCCGTCGTCCATTTATTTGTAAGTCAATGGTATCAGCGATCAAAATTTATAACAGACTACCAATTCAAATAAAATGTTTATATGGTGATAAATTTAAAGCTTTGTTTTTAAATGGTTAATTGACAAAGCTTTTTACAATCTTAACGAATTTTATATAAAGACATGAAATATTTGACAATTGTGTAATTAACTTACGAGTCTATAGTACCTCAGCTCGAATTTGAATTTTTTCCCGTCCAAATACGGTTCCAAATGAACCGTATTAGGACGGGAAAAATTGGGTCGAACGGTAGGTACACTAGCTTTTTATAATTTATTTTTTTACGAACGACATTAAAGCCCTTTGAAAAACGTATATAGTATAATATGTATGTACACTATTTAGTTCAGTTGATATAAAAAAAATCATTGGTATATGTGAAGTACCTATTGAATACAGCGACTTTCTAGTAAAATTTCGAGGCAAGTTTGTGTATTTTTAGGAATCTTGTTTTCACACCGTATAGTAATCGGTGTTTTTTTTTTATAATATCAAGTGACGGACGAACAAGTCATGCGCCTGATGTTAAGCTACACGCCTGTTCATAACAGTTGCAGTACCACTCAGAGCTTTTGTAAATTTATTAAACAACACCCCGACTTTTACACTAACACTGACGACCTGCCTCAACTATACACTTTTAGACCACGCAATAGATTGCTTCTGAAACGATCTCGGCTACACATACACAGCTCAAGTCCCCGCTCGATGTCGGTGAGGATATTCAATGAGCTCCCGCCCATTATTAAAAACGAGGAAAAGTATTCAATGTTTCTAAATAAATTAAAATTACATCTTATTAATAAATGCTATTACAATTTAAATGAATACTTTGATGACAAATAAAAATAATAATATTATAATAAATTTGAATAATAAATAAATGTTAATTATATACTATAAAGTTATGCTACTTTAATCTAAATAAATTCAAACTTACAAGTGACATAATTCTACGCATAATGTGACGTATTTCTTTATTATTATATGACATATTTTTATTTTATTATTTGATAAATAACAATTTTAATTAATAATTGAAACCTCGGCCTACCTCTGCTGTTATTGTTATCCCTAATAAAGGGCTCATATGTGTAGCATTATTTTAAATTTAAGACATGTATACCATATGAATGCAATAAATATATTGAGTATTGAGTATTGAGCTTTAAATCGCAAATTAAGACCTTAGGGCCACTCCCACCGCACCGTCACCCTGAGACATAAGTTGACAAGTCCCATGTACTTGTAATTTCACCAGTATATATATCATTAATTTTATTATATGTTTCTTCCAAAATTATTGATTCAACGCTTTCGCTGTTATGCGAAATCAACTAAAGCCGTTTGAGGTTGTTTCGAGCCTTAATTAAAATTATAATTTTAGTTTGTTGACTTTTAAGTTGTAACAAATTATAATTGAATTGTAATTTTTAAACATTGTGTTCAGTTCTTTACGTACTATCTATTGACTGATGTGGTAGCCATTGGTTATCAACGCAAAAGTGGTGTAATACGGCATAAGCGGTAATAAATTTTAAACAGTAAACTTACTGTTTTGAGAGTACGCTGTGGCTTAGAAAGAACAGTCAGTTCCACTGTTGCATTTTAAGTATTAATAAGCTATTTTATTTGTTACGAAACGATGTAAATAGCAGACTAAAATGTTGTTTTATAGTTTGTTTACTGCTCTATGTACGAGTAAATCATTGGAGTGTTTTGGTGGATTGTGGTATAACACTTTACGTTAGAGTTGGCTTGATATAATTGTTAAATCTTACATTGTATGGTTTGGTAAAGGGGAACGGTTTGTTCCTACGTTAAGTTAGACCAAAATTTTAGGAAGAGATGAAAAGGGACTTACAGGTACCTACATCGTATATATGCGGACGCAAATTTAATTTCTATGTCTACTGTTTGATATCCCACATCTTTTCTGCATAAGTTTTGTTTATAGTGACCCTCTCTATCAACGTTTTGGTTATATGGGAAGGGCTAGTATCCTACACATTACTACTAGTGTACACAGATTATAGTTAACCTGTGTAAGCAAGCCCGCACAGTGACCTACTCAGTCGGGTCCTGACCCTAGATCAGTCCGTTTGCACGTACTTCATACGATACTCAAAAGACTAGTGTAAGTTGCCCCCGGTGCTCGCATAGTACCCTATTTTCCAGATAGGTAACGAGGTGGTGGCATAAAATAACAAAAAAAAAATATTTTTTTAAGAAATATATTTTTTCCTCGTGTCGGTTTAGCCTGTCCCATTCCTCATGATCCATAGCCAACTTCTTGACATATTTTAGCTGCGTAATTTAACTGTCTCCTTTATTGTCACTATACTCTCGGTCGGTCTTTTTCTTTCTAAATTCCCCACAATTTTTGTGTAACAAATGTCCAAACACAATCCCTTTCCATTCATTTAAAATAATTCTCTCCCTTTTGCAAAACGTCTCCATTTTATGTAACGCATACTTGTAATATATGTCTTTTTATGATACTTAATGACGACGGGACGAACAAAAATGACAGTGCCACTTTAAATCGCAAAGATCTGAGGGGTACTACCACCGCGCTGACAAGTCCCATGTGTCTGTCATTTCACCAGCACCCTTGCCCTTCTAAACCGGTAATCAACACAGTAATCTCACACTACTGCTTGGCGGCAGAGACAGTTAGGAAGTAAGCAAAGTATTCATATACCCGCTTTTGTGTCAGTAAACAAATTGTACTTGTATTGGGCATGGTGTACTAAATCTAATGATATAATTTCAACATGCATAAGTTAATAGCGTCATTTAACAAATTGAACGGTTAAATTTTAATGTTGTTTGTATAAACACCGTGAAATGATCTGCATTTTTGAGGCTTGGGTATTTTATGAAACAAAACTTGGTAACATTAATTTATTATAAATTTGACAGACTGGAAATAAAGTAAGCCGGAATTTTATAAACAAAGACTGAACATTTTTTGTACATATACGTATACTTCATGCCCTTTTGAAATGGGGTAGGCAGAGACTACAGCTTTCCGCTTGCTACGATCCTGACACACAGCTTAAAGTTTTTACTTGTCGATAAAGTGTAAAATGTAATTATAAGTACGGAATATTTTTAACTTCCATCTTATTTATTAAATTTTGACGTCGTCAGATCGAAATATGTATTAAAAATAATAAACATTGTAATGTATTTATACTTACAATAAATCGCAACATTTTCGAAATTTGTCTTATATTTCAAAAAAAAAACACAAAACACAAGCACAGAGTAAAAAAAATTCTTCAAAGTTCACACTAAAACAAGAGCAACCGTCAATAATACTAAGTTAGAAAAAGCCTAAAGGGCGATCATTTGATCGAAATTTAAAATTTGAATGGCACAAGTCGCCTGCGCAGGCAGTAAACGTTGAATGAGCTACGCTAGCTTGTACCGACAGCTAAGGAATGCTGCGTCTCAAACTACTACGGCAATTAATTACATAGTAACAATTGTGTTAGAAACATATATCCGTTCATTAATATATAATTGTTTTAGTTTGTGTATATATTTTGTAGGATGTAGTTGCAGATTCATCGGTTTCATAAAGGAGAAATAGGCAGATAAGAATAAAAGAAGTAAACATACTCACTTTTCAATAAGTCTATTTACTTAACACTCACTTCCTGATAGACCGAGTTCTTTTCAATCCTCCTGTCTCACACACCCGCTTAAAAATTCCTTAGCATCTATAACTAACGTTTCGTGCCGTCTGACTTTTTGTACGCTGGTGGCGCCCCGCTAAAAGATAAACAGAAAAGTTTGGAAAACGAAGGCGTTTTACAAACTTATTAATGAATGTTTAATTATTACAATACATAGCATATTAATTGATTTATTATAATTAAATATAAATTCAAATACGTAACTGTTGATGATAATTGCTTCACGTGCATAAACACAAAATACAGAATGAATTATTATTATTGATTTATTAATATTATTTTTGAAGTCGGTTTAAAGTTCATAATAAGTGGTGATTGGTTATTAGGAGAACGGTTGCTTCCGTCGAACGGTCTGCAGTTCGAGACCTTTGGCGGCATGTAAAGGCCCATATCTTTCTATAAGTTTTCATTATAGTAACCCTCCCTACCGACCCTTAGGGTATATACGAGAAGGGTACTAAAAACTAAATCAAGGGCGGAGGGTTTGGTCCGGACGCTCGCTCTTCAGTGCATGCTCAGGCCTTATCGGGGAGCCGGTAGTCTTCCCGGAACTCCCTATCTCTTCGGTCGGTAGATAGGGACAGTGGCGGCATGTACACTCAACCTCTAACTTATACGCTTTTGCCTTTACGACGCTTCACGTCCAAGAAGGCTTACTATCTTTGGGAAAGATAGTAAACTTCAATGGTTTCCACATATATCTTCCCTGGCCAGTAGATTAAGCTCCGCTGCATATGCAGTTCGCAGAATTCGTAACCTTACCGATGTTAGTACTGCTAGACTAGTTTACTTTAGTTACTTCTATAGTATAATGTCCTAAGGGATTCTCATGTGGGGTAATGCGGCAGACATTCAAAGCATATTTTTGTTACAAAAACAAGAGATTCGTTCTGTGTACCGTTTAGGTTCTCGGGTTTCTCTCAGAGAAAAGTTTAAGGAGACTGGTATCATGACTGTGGTATTACAGTACTTTTACTCAAATATTTTGTATGCTCGTAAAAATATATTAATTAACCTTAGAGCTAAGGCTAAAGTCATGGTACCACGATCTCGTTCAACCAAGGTAAACGACTCTTTTATGGGGAAAGGTATACGTTTTTACAATACGATTCCGGAGCATATATTAAGATTATCATTTCCTATGTTTAAAAACTACATTAAAAATATTTTGATAGAAATGTCATATTGCAAAATTGATGACGTGTTATACAAAGATTCCACAGAAATTTGATTTAATTTTATTATAGCATTTAATTTTATTTGAAAAGACCAATCCCTGGAGTTTCTTGCTCGTTCTTCTCAGGGAGGTCAGCGTAGTGAACGACCAATAAATTAAATACGACGTTTTCAAGTGTAAATTTACTTTACTTATGGAATAAATGATTCTTCGAATTTCATTTTGACTAAGACACATGCCGTGTGAAACAATAAACGAGTTGACAATGATAATTCTTAAGGGTGCCCTGAACCATTGTTTTTACTGTCCACATACACGTATCAAACTTATCTACCATTGTCGAGTGTTAAAACCATACAAGCGCAACAAGGAAGTATTTTCTATTAAAAGATGCACATGGTGAGCTGACTGACCACTTTTCCTGTGATTACGTCATGTTATGATGTACCTACCACCTATCACTAGTGGCCCGTGAACGTCAGTTAAGACTGAATTATGTACTTGATATTTAAATATATGTGTGTAATTTATTTGATAGCAGTAAAAAGAGAATACAGTCTTACAAGGAAGTGTACGCATGTTTATATCAATCAAATAATAAATATAAATGAAGTTTTTGTATTTTTAATTGTCAAAATAATAAAAAAATCAAAGAAAAGGATTTTTGCACAGTAGAGAGCTTGCTCCTTGTGGATGAGAAGAACTCTTCAATGAAATGACGTCATGTTGTCTATATTTTGTAAGCCAGGAATTTTATATAATACAGATAACTGATTTAGTACCGGGTTCGAATTATAAGAATGAGTAATTAGTTATTCAAAGCGTGACAGCTTGAGGTCATAGCACGGACAATATCAAATGGTCTCAAATATTTGCCCTGAGGTACGCCACACAGGTAAAGTAATTTCTTCTTTATTTGTATAGGTTTAAAGTTGATTGGAAATGTGTTTTCCTAAGATTATTTCTTGTAAGACAAAGGATTTAATATTTATGATGTTAAGATGATAAATGTAATAAGTGAAATAAGGTTATTATGGATGACTGCCCTTGAGGTATAAAAACCAAATTTTGAGGTTCCTCCATTTTACATAACAAAAAGAAAAAAAGACAGGTACAACAAGCGAACTTATTGCTAGATAGCAGTCTCTACCAGGCAATAAACTTAAAGACTTATAGTAATTAACTGTCGTCGCAACAAAATACGAATTTAATATACTTAATGCACTTACACAAATAAAAAACAAAAATAAATAAACAAAACAAAAAAAACCATACCTACATGAATTATATTATTGGTTTTTGTTAAGGGAAAATGTTAGTGCGTAGAGTTATGTAAACAAATAAATAAATAAATGTGGATAAGTTAAAAATCAGAGATGTTATGGAAACAAATGAAAGCAATGATTACGCGTTATAGTAGATTACCACCAGTTACATCAGGGAATCGTCACCGGGCAAAGAATCTAATTAAAAAAAAGTTTTTATTACAATCGCCATGTTTAGGAGGTACTTTGTAAATAAATTATGCAATAATAATAACATAATAATAATAATAATAACGCACACACTCAACATGGCCCCGCACTAGGGAAACCTTGTGTCGCGGGTGCCATGGACACACACATAGACAACCACAAATTACACCCAAACTCACGAGAGAAATAAATGTAGGCCATACAAATATGTCTTCCGACCCGGGAATCGAACCTGGGACCTCTGCGTGGCAGTCCGGCATGGTAACCGTTCGGCCACTGAGGCAGTTTACTTTAGCAATACAGGTTATTGGCTTATATAACCGCCCAATTGAAGGAGGTCAAACTGCGCATATTATATGAGCAACTTACATCTAATGTAGTCCATTTCATATATAAAGGTTCGCCAACTTCTTGATACGTAAACCGGAATAATTTTATCTATAGAAATTTACACCATGGGATCGATAAATCGAATTGCTATTATGTATTTTGAGTCAATACGTTTGCATATGCACTTTGTATGTTATTAGGTTACTTTACAGCTTCACGACAAATAAAAAAATAACCAAACACAAAGTCAACAAAAAAGCATGAAAACAACAGCAACGAAACGAAATTGAAACAATTTGTCCAAAAATATCACACAAAGCTTAAAACAAAAGAAAATGACCCTCTTTTGTTGCTGTTGATTTATGCTTTTTTGTTGACTTTATGTTTGGTTATTGTTAGTTTTTTATTTGTTGTATAGTTTTTTTAGTAACTTAATAACATTATAATTGTGTTCTTTTTATTTGTTTATTATTTGGTCTTGAACTACAGTGTTTAAAAATCGATTCTCTCTTCGTAACAAACTATCTCGATAAGATATTTAAACCGATTTTTTTTTTCATTTGATTTTACATTACTACATCTCTAGACTCAAACGACACCGTACCCATGCTGTGTGAAATGAACTAATACTAAAGAGAATGCTTGCTCCTTGTGGATGAGGTTTATGGTTCGGATATCTTCTCAAGATCAGTAGCCAAATATTTAGAATTATATATAGCTTCGGTATGGACTTATATATAATGGGTTGTTAATAAATGATACTGCGAAATGTAGTAGACATACTCCGCCTGACATTATGAATTACAAAACTTGTGATAAAGCCTTGTCTCACCTATAAATATGCGATAAATTATCTGAACTCTGCGCTTGTGGTTAGGCTCGAGGAGATAATCAAAGATCAATTTGTGAGCATTTATGTTGATCGGCGCGGGCGGCGGTAGTATGTGATTTGACGCAGAGACGGAGTTAGAAAAGGAAATTCAGTTTGGCATGATAATAACATTAGAGTGCGAAACAACCCCATATTAATAAATAGTTAGATTCAAGTTAGATTAATGATGTTTGTTTTGTTGTAGTCCTTTTGCTCAAAATTATATTTCGACAAAGAACACAGGCGGAGACTGAAAAACAGCACTATGCTGAGACTTCGTCCTTTTTACAATTTGTTAGTACGTAATATCGTGTGATGTTCTATGTAATATGTGTGGGTGTGTTTGATGAATAAAGTCCTATTTAATTTTTAATATTCATAAGAACCACTTGTCTAACAAAGTGTACTGGTGTAACTTTACTAGGTCGTCAATTATTGTTATGTTTTTTAATTGTTATTGTTTTATAATAAACTAATAAGTTTCTCAAGCTTAAATAGAATTGTTGTAAAATGTCACAGTATCTACATAATTTATTTAATTCAATTCATTAAATTTGTATTGAATTGATATTCAATTACTTTTTGCGAAATTGCTCCACTAGTTTGTTATAATTATTAATACAAATAATCAGAGAACACTTAGAAAAAATTCCTTCGATCCGGCCAGATTCGAACCGACGTCTTCTAGCAAACTGTGCCAGGCGCTATGCCAACTAAGGCACGGAACGAACCATGGTTTTGAAGGGCAATGGCACTTGTCACCTGTCGACTAATGTCACCGGGTGACGAGCGCAGTGGGAGTGTCCCTTAGATCTTTGCGATCTTCAGCTGTTATGGACA